CAATGCGTGACACACGGTAGGTACACAACACTGCCTTTGTTTACATAATACTTTTTTCAGTAGACCGTAATACCAGGCTTCTCTTGCTTTAAAATATCTTACTTAGGAAGATGGGTATTTAACTAACTTGTATTTCCCTTGTTCCCTTCCTGTCATTTGGCATAATTTACCTACTTTTCCCATCTTTAACTTTTTTAATATTTTTTTTTCTGTTTCTCAAAAACAAAAAAACAGTTAAACATTTAGATTTGTGTAGGATTCCTGCCCTATTCTCCAGTCTCTACCTAAACTATTTCAGTTAGATCACTGTGTTAGGAATATTAAACTAGCCTCTCCACCAATGCAAATAATTCTAATCAGACCAAATCAGACCAAATAAAAGATGCCCATGTTTAGTGCAGTGCTCCTGGGTGGCACCGGGAAAGCATGGCAAAGGGAAAAGAGAGAGAGAGAGAGAGAGAGAGAGAGAGAGAGAGAGAGAGAGAAGGGGAGACCACTCAAAACCCGGAGACCATGTGTACATTCTATGGGGAGCAGTTTACAGTGGTCTTGACCTTCCCTGTGGAGGGATCACCATTTGGCAGGCTTTCTTGGAGGTGGAGTTTGGACTAAGACACTAAGTCTGCTCCCAGGGGAGGGGGCTTGAGATGGAGTTCCTGCCCAGTATTCCAAAGATGGGTGCCAGGGGCTGGGATGAGGCCCCGGACTATAATATTCCAAACTCTTCGTATAAAGGGGTGTTAGGGAGCTGGGGTGATGCTTTTGACCAAACACATTGCATTCAGCAAAGATGAGGTTTTAAATGCCAAAGTTTATAAATGCAAAATGTGCAGTGTGGCTTGCCTCACCTCTGGAAACAGTCAGGATAGGTACTTCAGACCATCTTTTGGGCACCTGACATGGTTCGTTGATGTTGTCGGAAATAAGGAACATTTCCTGAAGAAATCAACTCTGTGATTTCTGATAGGAGGTTGCCACGGGGACAGCTCTAGAGATTGTAGACTCTTTACTCAACTTGATTACGGATTTTACATTTCTCAGATTCCGAATGTAATTTGGAAAATGATTTCCTGCCCTTGGTCCTCGGGAAATACTCAGACTTGCTAGGCCAGTTTGCTACCAGTTTGTAAGTGGGCTACATTCCCAGTCCTCCTTTAGAAACAACAAGAGCCAACCTTTTATCTTGAGATGGTCTCATAAAGTTTCCAAGCTGGCACTGAATTCACTTCGTAGCCCAGTAGACCTTGAACGTGAGGCCTCCGAATCCCTAGTAACTTGGGTGAAGTAGGGACGAGAGGTACAATTCTTTTAGAAATCTCCAAATGGCATAATATATCTATCCTTTTCTGGGAGAGTTATTGATGGCACAATCCACAAATGTTTGGATTTTTGTCCTTCTGTTTCGCCTACTTCACCGTTCATGCTAGGAACTGAGGACCTGCACATATAGTTTCTCTCAGATGTTGGTTAAAATTTTCATACCAAGGACAAGCTCTAGATCCACAGGGCACATGCACATATACACACTTGGGCGTGAAGCTTGAGTGCTTTACGTTTGTCTGTTTAGGCTAGCCCCAGCCCTACAAATGCCCTCTCTCTGACTTTCAATCTGTGTCATTTTCTTGTTTTTACTGAAAAGCCAGAACTGATAGAAAAGAAAAGCAAGTTTGACTCAACACCAACGTTACTCTTCACAGCAGCCCACATAGTCGAAGACAGAAAGGAATCACCCCTCCTCTGGTAGTCGTTTTGACTCAGTTTTGATTATTGTTGCCAGTAGGATTTATTGATTGCTTCTAGCCCCTGAGGTATTTTCCTGATTAGAGAATTCTCCACCCTCTTGTATCAAATCCCCCCATGTGTAGATAATGAATATGTGTGGAAGTTGAAGGCCAACATTGGTATCTCCTGCAATCAGTCTTCACCCTATTTTCTTAAGAGAAGCTTTTTTCACTGCACCTGGGCACCTACTGATTCACCTAGGGGAGCTGGACCACAAGCCCCAGTAATCACCCTGTCTCCATTTCCCCAATGCTGGGACATGACCTCTTTACGTGGGTTTTGGAGGATCCAACTCGAGTCTTCGTGGTTGTATCACAAGCACCTACCAACTGAGCCATCATCTGCCAGTCCAAGTTTGAGAATTTTTATGTGTTGTGAATTCCTGAAATACCAAACTGAATAATTCATCACTCCTTGATCAACATGAGTTTGACAGAGAGTGAAGAGCCATAAAAATTTCAATGACTTTTGTGCAAAACCTCTCTTATTTGAACAATTGATCCTTTGGTATATTTCCAAATAAGTTACTATTCCCTAGTGTCCCCAGTTCTGTCACCATAGCTGATGTCCTGCCTGATGGATACAGTCTGAAAGAGGACCAGCTCACAATCTTTGGTTACTGAGAAAGCAAGAGACAGATATTGCCTTTCTGAAAAGAAAAGTTGATGCCATTAAGTATAGTTTCTGTAAGCTTTCATATTAAAAATGTCTTAGAAAAAGAGACAGATTTGAGTGTTTTTTGTTTGTTTGTTTTGTTTTGTTGTTGTTTTGTTTTTTGAGACAGGGTTTCTTTGTAGCTTTGGGGCCTGTCCTGGAACTAACTCTTGTAGACCAGGCTGGCCTTGAACCCACAGAGATCTGCCTATTTCTGCCTCCTGAGTGCTGGGTTTAAAGGTGAGCGCCACCACTGCCCAGCTTGAGTGTGTTTTAAAAGCAGTAGTTTGTGGGTGGAACTTGGTGTCCAGTAACATGCTTGACATCCATGAGGTCCTGGGTTCAATCCTCAGCACTGCAAAAGTGAAAAAAAAAAAGTCACACAAATGAACTCTGAGACATCCCTGCATATTATTTTACTTTAAAGCAAAATTCATATGCAAATCTGCCTTTGGGAACTTACCTATTTTCCATTAACAGTTGATTGTATTTATATTTATGTGATCAGAACTTGACTTAACAATTGTCTGTTGGGTTGCGTTGGCAATACTTTGGGGGCAATGCCAGCATATTTAGGCTCAAGGCTTCTCCTCCTTGTAGCAGTTCTATGTCCTTTACAGATAGTTGTTCAAGCATGCAAGTCAGTCATGTCCTATGTTAAGTTCACTCACCTCTGAGTACAAGGGAAAGAACACTGTACGAGGAGATGGAAAATTTTAGATGCATTCTAACTATACCTTTCAGTGGTGAGAAACTCCTGACAAGTCAAATGTGTTCTGATATTTTGATGTCACTATTAGAAGTTTACATGTCAGAGAAGCATCTTAAGACACATCTATCCCAGAAGAAAATCCGGTCCACTTCACTGCTTCCTTCCTGCTTCTTCAGTCAGAGGTTCCATGGTACCCTGTGACCTGAACAGGTCATAGACTTTACTGATGAGGAAGGACAGGCTGAGAGGGACTTTAGGATTCTATGGCAGTGACTAAAGATAATTAAATTCTCTTGGCTCAGAAACACCAAAACAGCTAACCACACAAACAGCTCCTACTCCATCATGTACCAGGAAACCCTAGAAAATGATCTTGAGAAAACCCAATTCAGAAGTAGTAGCTCAAAGAATCTGACGATTGATAACGCTCTCTATACATCATCCATAGAAGGAGTGACATACATTTATGTTTAGAGGGTCTTAGCCTTCTCTTTCTGTGAAGAGATACCATGACCATGGCAACACTTACAAAGGAAAACATTTAATTAGGGCTGGCTTACAGTTCAGAGGTTTAGTTCACTGTCATTATGGTGGGAAGCATGGTGTCACTCAGGCAGACCTGATACTGGAGAAGAAACTGTGGAAGTTCTATATTGGGGAATGCAGGAAAAGAAAGCCATGGGTCCTCTCTGGGGTTTCTGAAGCCTCAAAGCCTACCTGCAGTGATATACTTTCTCCAAACAGGGCCAGACTTCCTAATCCTTTCAAGTACTATCACTCCCTGATGACTACATCTTCAAATATATGAATCTTCAGGGTCATTCTTATTTAAACCACCTCAGAGGGCTAAAATATACTTAGAAATCCTGAGAAAGGAATCATGCAGGTGTCACCTCTAAGTTGCTTCAATACATATTTTTGCCTTTTTCCCCATAAGGAACTCCAACTCTATAGCTAGCATAAATAAATAAATAAATAAATAAAATAAAAAAGGAAATAACTTCACTTGGAATTGTGGATTTATATCTTTAGGAGAAAACAATTAAAAATAGATTTAAAGATTCATTCTCTATAATGAAAAGATATATAAGTATATATTTCCTGAACAAGGTGAAGAGACCCATATGGATTTAATGGAAAGTTTATTGTGTCCTTGGTCAACAGTAAAACACTGATCAGATATTGGTCAGAACCTTGATTCTGTGTTGGGTAGCAAGAAGGAAGCATACACATGCTCTGAGTAAGAATCAAGTCTGATAGAAATGACCACTTTCATCTTCACAATTAACGTTCAAAGACAGAAAATACTAGTCTCATTAACATATAAGGAAATTAAGGCACAAAGTTAGTCACTATTGGTGGTGAAAACTAGGTTTCAAACTATGTTTGTTTTGAGCTTTTCCCTTTATTTTGTTGTTAGAACTTCATGTCGATAGTAACAACAATAATACTGTCACTTTCAGGGAACACTTATTTTAAGTACCAGGCATTGTGCTGAGAGCTTTAAACACATGGTTCCATTTAATTCTCACATCAGATCTGTGAGGTGGGATTTATTTCCACTGTTGAGATGAAGAACCCGAGACTGAGAGACAGTAAGGGATTTTCCCTGTCCTCCTCCCCCATCACCAGGCATGAAACAGTGGAGCCGGGCTTCCCTGTGTCTGTAGTGTGGGCTAGAAAAACCTGTGGTTGGACCTGCAGGGCCACAGGGTGCTCCTTCGCTGGCGATCATCAGCATGAGCTTGCTTAGCCCATACACAGATCCAGTCACTTCGGGTGGGTGACACATATTCTTCACATCTCCTGGTTCTGATATCACTAAGATCCTTAGTATGTTTTTCTTTCACAGGTGCTTGCTGGATCACAAGAGGCTGATAGCATCTCTGAGGAATCGAAGTTGAGGAGGAATGTTAGTGAAACTGAGCCTGACTGCCCAGAAGGATTATACCGTGGGGGCCAATTTTGCTGTCAACCATGCCAGCCTGGTAGGTTACACGAAGCATCCAGGGAAGTGGGGTAAGGGGTTGGGATGTTCTACAGGTAAGAATGCGTTGGACGGTTAGTTATACAGTTATTGGCCATCCTATGGTGTATAGAATTACAAAGAAGAGCTAGGGGAAGACTATAAAATTATCCTCCAAACACAAATCTTGGGGTTTTCTTTTTTCTATTTTTATCTCACATGTCCAGGCTGCTTGTGGGGGAAAAAAAAAAGAACTGTCATTCACAAGTTGCATTCATGTCTAAAATGAGAAGATTCATCTTTTTAGTTGTTTTGCAGGAGCTAAAAAGAGTCAACAGTGATGGTTAAAAGACTGTCCTCTCAAAGCTGACTAAATCTGGGGCTCCCTCAGCAAGGAATTTCCACCCTCAGCGGTATGACTCAGCCCCTCTCTTTAGTCTCTCACTAAAGCTCTCTATCCTGGCACTGAAGCCTGCAAAATACATTTGCATTTTGCAGCTGAATAGCCAGATGCGCTAGAAAAGCAATGGACAGCAACGAAAAAGTTTTTCAAAATTCAGTGTTTTGAAATGCAGGGCATTTTTAAACTAAAACTCTCTCAAGTACCAGCAAATGAGAGGCTAAGGAAAATGTAATTCTGAAGCCCAGTTTTCACTTTGGGGTTGACCACAGTTACTTTCAAATCAAGAATAAGACCCAATGGCATTTAGGATTGTTCTGCAGGTTTCAGGCAGTAGTCATAGACCTCCAAAAGGCTTTTGTAGGTTTCATCACTGGCCTCTCAAAAGTTCAAAGCAGGCCCAGGTCATGTACATACAGACTCCAACGGTCTCCATGGGGCACTTTCCTGTCCAGGTTTTCCTAAGAATAGCAAGAGAGTTTCCCCTGTGACACAACCCACTTATACCTAAGTTTCTGCACAGCTCCTGTTTTCCAAATAGCAATTGGGAATCATCTATTTTTTTTTAGTTGCTAAAGACGATCAGTTTACCCTATGAATTTGAAATCCATTTCTATAGTTTGAATTTTTGGATTATATGTTTAAAATTTAAAGTGCAAGCTAAAACAGAGGTGATGTGTTTGCATGCTAAGCTCTCAAAAATGTCAGCTGTGTGCTTTTACTCTACTTTTGTTTGTATTTTAAAAGGGAAATCTCATGCCTGCTGCAAACTTTTACGAAGGAAAAATATGATATGTGTTGAGAACCCCACAATGTCTTTACTCACTGACGCACAATGGGTTATTTATTTTAAAATGCACTGAAAATTGAAAGTTTTGTGTGTGTGGCATTTTATCTTGATGGCCAACTCTGTAGGACTGTACATGTAAATTCCAGAGTAATCAAAGGCTGGAATAGTTTGTATCAATCAGAGCCTAAGTGCACCAACATCTCTGATCTATTTCCAATCTAATTCTTAGTTGTATGGGTTTCTTTTTAATTTAAATTTTTTTTTAAAAAAAATCTTTTCTCATTTTACATACCAATCCCAGTTCCCACTCCCTCCTCTCTTCCCACTCTCCTCACCTACCTTCCACCCCACTTCTATCCACTCCTCAGAGAAGATAAGGCTTCTGATGGGGAGCCAACAAAGCCTAGCACATCACTTTAAGGCAGGACCAAGGCCCTCCCCACTATATCTCGGCTGAGCAAGGTATTCCTGCAAAGAGAATGGGCTCCAAAGAGCCCGTTCAAGCACCAGGGGAAAATCCTGGTCCCACTGCCAGTGGCTGCACAGTCACACAACCATCACCCATCTTCAGAGGGCCTAGTTTGGTCCTATCCTGGTCCCCCCACCCCCACCCCACAGCTGTCGGTCTGAAGTCAGTGAGCTCTCACTAGCTCAGATATGCTGCTTCTGTGGGTACCACCATCATGGTCTTAATCCCTTCGTTCACATTTTTGCTCATCCCTCTCTTCAACTGGACTTTGGGAACTCAGCCCAGTGCTTCGTACTGGATCTCTGCATCTGCTTCCATCAGTTCCTGGATGAAGGTTCTATGATGACAATTAAGATAGTCATCAATCTGATCACAGGAGAAAGCCAGTTCAGGCACCGTCTCCACTATTGCTTAGGATCTTAGCTGGGGTCGTCCTTGTGGATTCCTGGAAATTTCCCTAGTGCCAGGTTTCTTGCTAACTTCATAATTGCTCCCTCAATCAAGATATCTCTCTCCTTGCTATCCTTCTCTGTCCTTCCCCCTCTACACTTTTTCCTATTTCCTCATGTTTTCCTTTTCCCTTCCCTTCTCTTCTCCTCCTCCCCTTCTACCCTCCTTTCTTCCCCTATCCCCATGATCCCAATTTTCTCAGGAGATCTTGTCTATTTCCCCTTTGCAGGAAGATCTATGTGTGTCTTTCTTAGGGTTCGCCTTGTTACCTAGCTTTTCTGGGGTCATGGACTATAGGCTGGTTATCCTTTGCTTTATGTCTAATATCCACTTATGAGTGAGTACATACCATGTTTGTTTTTCAGGATCTGGGTTACCTCACTGAGAATTGGTTTTTTAGCTCCATCCATTTGCCTACAAATTTCAAGTTGGCATTGTTTTTTATTTCTTTTTTCTGCTGAGTAGTACTCCATTGTGTAAATGTACCAGGATTTTCTTTATTCATTCTTCAGCTGAGGAACATCTGAGTTGTTTCCAGGTTCTGGCTATTATGAATAATGCTGCTATGAACACGGTTCAGAAAATGCCCTTATGTTATGAGTGTGCATCCTTTGGGTATATGCCCAAGAGTGGTATTGCTGGGTCTTGAGGTCGGTTGATTCTCAATTTTCTGAGAAACTGGCATACTGATTTCCAAAGTGGCTGTACAAGTTTGCACTTCCACCAGCGATGAAGGAGTGTTCTCTTTACTCTGCATTCCCTTCAGCATAAACGATCTTTGGTGTTTTTGATCTTAGCCATTCTTAAAGGTGTAAGATGGTATCTCAGAGTCATTTTGATTAGCATTTCCCTGATGGTTAAGGATGTTGAGCAGTTCCTTAAGTGTCTTTTCGGCCATTTAAGATTCTACTGTTGAGAATTTTCTGTTTAAATCTATACCCCATTTTTTTAGTTGGATTATTTGGTATTTTGATGTCTAGTTTCTTGAGTTATTTATATATTTTGGAGATTAGTCCTCTGTCTAATGTGGGGTTGGTGAAGATCTTTTCCTATTCAGTAGGATGCCATTTTGTCTTATATATTGTGTCCCTTGCCTTACAGAAGCTTCTCAGTTTCAGAAGGTCCCATTTACTTATTATTGTCCTCAGTGTCTGTGCTACTAGTGATATACTTAGGAAGTGGTCTCCTGTGCCCACGTGTTCAAGGCTACTTCCTACTTTCTCTTTGATGAGATTCAGTATGGTTGAATTTATATTGTCTTTGATTTGGACTTGAGTTTTGTGCATGGGGATAGATGTGAATCTATTTTCATTCTTCTACATGTCAACATCCAGTTATGCCAGCACCATTTGTTGAAGATGTTTTCTTTTTTTCCTTTGTATAATTTCAGCTTCTTTGCCAAAAATAAGGTATTCTTTGGTGTGTAGATTAATATCAGGGTCTTCAATTCAATTCCATTGGTCCACCTCTCTGTTTTTATGCCAATACCAAACTATTTTCATTACTGTAGATTTATAATTGAGCTTGATGTCAGAAATGGTCATGTCTCTAGAAATTCCTTTATTGTACAGGACTGTTTTAGTTATTGTGGGTTTTTTGTTTTTCATATGAAGTTGAGAATTGTTCTGTCAAGGTCTGTGAAGAATTGTGTTGCGATTTTGATAGGGATTGCATTGAATATGTAGGTTGCTTTTGGTAAGATTTCCATTTTTATTATGTTGATCCTACCTATCCAAGGACATAGGAGATCTTTCCATTTCTGATATCTTCCTCAATTATTTTAATTTAAAGACTTAAAGTTCTTTTTGCACAGGTCTTTCACTTCTTTGGTTAATGTTACCCAAAGATATTTTATGTTATTTGTGGATATTGTAGAGGGTAATATTTCTTTGATTTCTTTTTCAGCCCCTTTATCAATTGTATATATAAGGGATACCAGTTTTTCTTTTCTTTTTTAGTTGATCTTGTATCCTGTCACATTGCTGAAGGTTTTTTTTATCAGCTGTATGAGTTCTCTCACAGATTTTGGGGTTACATATGTATATACTATTATATCATCTGCAAATAGTGAAAGTTTGACTTCTTCCTTTCTGATTTGTATCCCCTTCATCTCTTTTTGTTGTCTTATTGCTCTAGCTAGAACTCTGAATCCTATGTTGAATAGATATGGAGAGAGTGGACAGCCTTGCTTTATTCCAATTTTAGTGGACTCACTTTGAGTTTCTTTCCATTTAATTTGATGTTGGCTGTTGGCTTGCTGCATATTGCGTCTATTGTGTTTTGATAAGTTAATTGTATCCCTGATCTCTCCAAGACCTTTTCATGAAGGGGTGTTGGATTTTTTGTTGAATGCTTTTTCAGCATCTTAGGAGATGACTATATGTTTCTTTTCTTACATTGATAGATTTTCATATGGTGAACCACCCCTACATCTCTTGAATGAAGCCAACTTGATCTTGGTGGATGATTTCTTTTTATGTGTTTTTGGATTCGGTTTGCTACACTTCCCTGTATATTTTTCAAAACTTTCCTCTTTATTCATTATCCACTGCCACTTGCTGCCACTTAGAATCTCTGCCTGAGAAGGTGAAGGTCCAGGAAGCTAATGTTTTGTCGTGCTTTCTGCAGGACTTCCTTCAACTCCTAGAGATCCTTTAACACTCAATAGGCATTTAATATAAAAAACTTGGTATTTCCAGAAGGCAGTGTTCTGTAATGCTTGGTCATAGAAAAGCATGTGCATGGTTCTAATAGTAATGACAGAGAAATCTTCATGATTTACATGACAAAAACTTAGGCTTACAGACTCTAAGTGCTCTATCAAAGATTTGATGGAGATTTCTAGAAATTTCCAATGTTCCTTTGCTTAAACTGTATTGTTTATGATCAGGATTTATGAATTTGGGAAAATGTGAATAAGAACAAAATGAGTTTGTTTCATATCCTCAGAAGCCAAGGACAGCCACCTCCATTGTCTACCTACTTTCTTCTCTCCAGAAAAGAGCATTTGATCTTTGATTGTTTCTTTCCCCGTGTTTCTGTTGCTAACTCTCTTACTTTTTATGGGAATATTTTTTTGCCTTTCATTTTTGGAAAGCTCTTAATGTGATTGTCTTCCCAATAGTGTTTTGTCTTTTCCTGTGTGTTTGCATATAATTAGCCTACATAGCATTCCCTGATTTTAAGATTTGTTATTGTCATCTTTGCATACTTCTCATGTTCTTACATGGAGACTGCCCCAGCTCCAAAAATTTAATATCTTTTCTTCTCCATGATAGGTGAATGGAAATATTTGGACTGTACAACCAGTGGTGGTAAACCAAGCTGCCGTCTCTGCAAAGAAGGGAAGGAATATATGGACAAAGAACATTATTCTGATAAGTGCAGAAGATGTACGTTCTGTGATGGAGAACATGGTATGTATCTAAGAAAGCAATTGAAAATATGTGGATCATGCAGAACCACACATGACACAGTTTGAGATAGAGACCTACTCTAGTACCATACTAGCATACAGGAAGGAGCAGAATGAGATCAGCTGGGTCGTGTGGAGTCAGATCCTAAGGTAGTAATCTCTTTTAAGGGTCTTTTCAGCAATTCTCCCAAATGGAGGCAAAGGACAAAATAACCCTATGAGTGGAGTTGTACCAGCTGCAATCAAAGCCACCTATAGAAGCTATTTTTCGTATTTAAACTTGTCTTGTGATCCTTGTTCATTGTAAGAAGAGACTGCGTTTTCATTTCCAGGTCACCCAGACCTGAATAATCACACAGAAACTATATGAATCACAACACTGTTTGGCCAATAGCTCGGGTGTATTCCTAGCTAGCTTTTACACCTTAAATTAACACATTTCTATTAATCTCTGTATTTCCACTAGGCTGTGGCTTACCAGTAATATTCTGGCACCTTTCTCTTTAGTCAGCTGCATGGTATCTCCTTGATTTCACCTACTCTCTCTCTCTCTCTCTCTCTCTCTCTATATATATATATATATATATATATATATATATATATATATGTTCGGATTTCCCTGGCTCTGCTAAGTCATTGGCCAAACAGCTTTCTTCATCAACCAATAAAAACAACACATATACAGAAGGGCATCCCATATCAGATCATGACTGTAAAGAGAAACCCAAGATGTGGGAATAATGTCCCCTCATCTTTGGGGGTCTGGTCTACATCATTCTACTTGGAGACCTGAAATTTTGTAGCTATTTCAATCTATTTTCAAGACCAAGATGAAAAGAAAACAAAGAAGCAATAGCAACAGTCATACTTTGGTTTGATATAAAGAAACCTCTTTGTATCGAGTTTTAAAGCGCGCGGGGGGGGGGCTCTCTCTCTCTCTCTCTCTCTCTCTCTCTCTCTCTCTCTCTCTCTCTTTCGCATAAAGCTTTTACATCAGACTGTTAAAAAGTGATACCAAACTCTGGTTGTACATTAGAGCTACTCAAGGAGCTATTCCAATACTAATGCACAGGTGTTAACTCCCAGTTAAATCAGAATCTCCAAGTTGAGTCTGAACATGTGTCATTTTAAGCCTAATTTAGGCTTATCATGTAGCATTCCAACATGCTAGACATGACAGTGATGATGATAATGGTTTCTAGGCCATGTACTTAAGGCTCAAGGTTCTCAATGAAAGGAACTGAGGGTCCATCTAAGCAATGTTAGAGAGTGTCTGGTGTAACTAGAGACTGTACTTTCATTTCCCAGCTGTCCAATACCAAGTAAACACACAGAAACTTACATTAATTATAAACCGTTTGGTCAATGGCTCAGGCTTCTTACTAGCTAGCTCCTACAACTTAAATTAACCCATTTCTATTTATCTATGTATTGCCATGTGGCAGTGGCATTCTCTCATTTTCTACATGTCTTGTTTCCTTGGTGACTGACTGGCATCTCCCAGACTCCTTCTTTCTCTCTCTATCTCTGCTTGGATTTCCTGCCTGCCTCTATGCTGCCTGAGTATTGGCCAAATCAGTTTCTTTATTAACCAATGGTGATAAGACATATTCACAGCATACAGAGGGGAATCCCACCTCAGTCTGGCTTTCTGGGTTATCTGTCCACTAACAGCTCCACTTGATTGCTGGTCCTTTCCATCTGGTGCTGCCATTTTTTTTATTAGTAAACATTGTCATAAAGGTATGATAGTGTAACAGTTGATAATAAACAGTAGATCTAAAAAAAATCCATGAAAATCCTGGCCATCATTTTCATAACTTATTTTGAACTAGCTGCTACAATGAATGCTTTATAAACGGTCTTTCTAGGTTTAGAAGTGGAAACAAACTGCACCCGGACCCGGAATACCAAATGCAGGTGCAAATCCAACTTCTATTGCAATGCTTCTGTCTGTGAACACTGCGATCCCTGCATCTCGTAAGTTTCAGTATTCAGTGCCTAAAACACTAGCTACAACTTGAGAGACCCTACCCTTCTAGAGAAGAACCACGCTGAGGGGGAGTTAGGAACTGAGTTCTAGTCTTGACTCTTTCATTTGCTCAGGTACCATCAATTAGCCCCAGACATCACTGAGTACTTTCCAGTCTCTGAACGTTACCAAAACCAGGTGACACTGCTGACTGCTTAGGTTGGTGATGGTGATGGGAGACATGCCACTGTCATCAAGGCTTTGGTTCTCAGGGCAAAGAAAGTCAAAAGCCCGATGCTTATTGTACATCAACACTCCTGATGGAGGCTAGGAAAGCCTGGAAAGGAACTGGATCACAAGGACAGTGCCTTGATACTAAAGGGTTTGCTTTTGATTCAAATCTAGCAAACCTGGTTGCACTGCTCACAAATTGGGCTAATTTGAGCAGATCACTTAATCCACCTGAACTTCAGTTCTCTCACTCATGGAATGCAAAGAATATTTAATTAGCTCCACCCACCTGCCACATTTCTCCAGAGATCATGCAAACACAGCTTTTGCATCTCATGGCACCCTTTGTGGTAGTGCACTTGCCCAGCAAGTGCAAGGTTTTGTGTTCAATTCTCAACACTGAAAGAAAAGTAACTTTTGGTTTGTAAGATGCTGGTTTCTTAGAGAATGCTTAGGACTGCTATTTCCTTGTCATTCCATAAGCCTGTAACTCACCTTTGGAACCAATGGGCTTTCATCTAATAGGTTTGAAAAGCAGAGGCATGATGATTCAAATCTTATTAGGAAAAACATTTGAGTTGCTATCTTTGCTCTCCTCTCTAGCTCCAAGTGTCTGAGAGTGGTGAAGGGCAAGTTGGGGATTGCGGGGAAGTAGTTAACTTGGCCAAGTAATAGCACAATGATACCCCTGTCCACTTTTTAATTCTGATTCAGTTTTCTTCTCAATGGCACTCGTTGAGGTATAGTATAATTATCACTGTGCTGTTGGTGAACTTACGGGCTCCTGATCTCTCTGCACACCTGTGTAGGCCTCAGGAAGAAGTGGGCTGTGAACTCGGACTGTCAGAGTTTACTCATCTGAAGAAAAATCCCACAAGTGCCTTTTGACAGCCCTGATCACTCCCTGCTGGAGCCCTGGGCAGCATCCTATGCAGTGGCTCCCTTCAGGTTATTTTAATAAGACTTTTTAAAAAATTGCTCTTGATAAGTTATTTTTTAAATAGCTTATTTTAAGCTCTTGTATCTTTTTTTTAAATCTAGTCACTCTTTTTTATATTTATTTTATTTATTTATTATGTATACAATATTCTGTCTGTGTGTATGCCTGCAGGCCAGAATAGGGCACCAGACCTCTTTACAGATGGTTGTGAGCCACCATGTGGTTGCCGGGAATTGAACTCAGGACCTTTGGAAGAGCAGGCAATGCTCTTAACCACTGAGCCATCTCTCCAGCCCCCAAGCTCTTGTATCTTAAGAATTCAATTTATTGCCAATTTTAAGTTTATTTTTGTCTGTTCTATTCTTTTGCATATCAGTTTTTTATTACCTTTTAAAACTCTTGATATCATATTTATTTTTCAAATATGTGACACAAGGATATGCATGTGATTGCAATGGTGGGGAGACTAGAAGATGCTGTCAGATGCCCCAGAGCTGGAGCTAGAGGTGCCTGTGAGCTGCTTGGTGTGGGTTCTGGGAACTGCTCTCTGATCTCCTCCACAAGCAACAAGCACTCTTAACCACTGAGCCATTTCTCTTGCTCCTATATCTTAAAGTAGATTTAACATCGTTCAACCAAACACTCAATCACAGTTTTTAGCTTGTGCCATCTTTTGATGGTGATCTAGAAATGTCTGAAAGGAAACAAGTACCGGAGAAGAACAGGCAAATAAAAAGAACCCTAATGTGTAATGTGCATTGAAAGACAAGAAGGAATCTATGCAGGCCTTCTAAGCTTCTTCTGCCTTTTCCCCCTAGGTGTGAACATGGAATCCTTGAGAGGTGCACATCAACCAGCAACACCAAATGCAAGCAAGAAAGTAATCATTTGCTTATTTTTTTTAACATCCCTATCATCATGTCAGAACAAAAGCTTATTGGTTTGTTATTGATTGACAGAACAGAGCTTCACTTTATCTTAAAAGCTGCTTAATTTCATATCAAATGTCCAATATTCCCAACCACAGGTTCCAGACATTATTTCATATGGCTGTCCATCATCATCATCCTCGTTTTGGGAATATTGCTTGGTATGTCCTCTTTTTGTTCAAACCGTAGATTGAAATGGCATGGGAAGTAGCCGCTGTGCCCACTGAGAAAGCACAGAAAGCCAGGGAGAGTGTGACAATGACACCTGGTCAACTGACCTTCTCTGAGGCTGTCCTCCCCTAATAAACTATTTACTTTAATGTTTATTTAATTTTTATGTTTCTTTATGTTTTGATTACTCTTTCTTATTTTGTGCCTTTAACTTAAAATCTACAACAACACACTTTATCCAAAAATTACTTCAGAATGTCAGAAGTTAAGGGAAAGCTGGGTCTCATTATTGTTAGTCTAGAAAATCACCTTGAAGCCTAGTGACGGGAAGATCCACCAGCTTTCAGGGACTCAGAATCTTCTAATTTTTCCTCCTTTGGTGGAATGTGAAGCTGTCTCCTCAACTCACTTCCTTCAGTGTGAGGACTTCCTATCAGAATGGCATCTGATTCTCACAGCGGTCTCTTTGATCTTTCAGTGCTTTTATATAAAAAGTATTGGAGAAAATGTCATCGTGACCCTGAATCTGTGACTACAAATTCTGTGAGTATGCAAAGTTGCATTGGCTTTCTTGAAAAAAAAAAAGCAAACAAACAAAAATTAGTGCTTTCTTTAAAACATATATGTGTTTGTTCATGCACAGTTAGAGCAACCATAATAACAACTTAACACGACAGCAGTGAACTTAGTAAGTTTTTGTGGGGTGCTACGTAAAATCATCTAACTCTATAGACAATTGAGTCAAGATGGGGCCTGTTCTGACCTATCCACTTCTTTCTCAAAGAGACCATGTGCACTATCTGTTAGGCAGCACAAGAAAGCATAATTGGAAAGAAACATAGAACTTGGTGTTAAAGACTCTTTTACCAGAGTTTTCCAAGGGAAAAAGTTGGCTTGGGACTCCTAGTGATCCCAAGGGACACTCAAAACCACAAGAAGATTTTTTCACCCTGTATTTACACGTTGCCTTCAGCATTTACAGTGGATGTTTGTTGGGGCTGCTGGCAGTCTACTGGTGCTGCCAGGGACCAGTGTTAGGCTGAGTCATCCCAGCACTCATGAACACAAACATCTGGGTGAGGGACATGATTAAGGAGCCCACTTCAAAATTAAAGTTAGCTTGTAAAAAATCTGATTACGCGGGAAGGCCAAGGCGTAGCATCGGTTGGATTGTTTCTTTAAAGGCAGGTTAAGCTGAAGCAGCAAGGAAACAGGCTGAATAGATAGTTTTAAACAGTCTCAAAGCATATGATGAAGCTGGTTGAAAAAAGTTGAATTTCTGAAGGCAAGCTCACAAGAGGTGTTTCCAGAATCAAATAAACCCTTCCAAGGCTTTACACAAATGCTATAAGGAGCAATAAAGGAGCTTGGAAGCCTGCCAGTGAGAGCTGGAAAAGGGATATGCAAAGCACTGTGTTTCACCTTGCTATTTTCCCTCCAGAAATGCTATAGTCAAAGTGCGGGACTCAGATTCCAAACTCCAGCCAAGGTTTTGCTCTTAAAGTCCACTTAATGGCCACAGTACGGCTCTCTTTAGCTAGCCATGGCACTAATGCTAGATAGAATCTACCACAGGAGGATGGAACCTTATAGGATCAAAATTGAATGATTGAAAGAACTCATCTTACCCAAACAGTCTAATTTTCTATATATATGTACATATACATGTGTATATTATATATATATATACCAGACAATTGTATTATATTTCCTTCTGAATTTAGAAAGAATTGAATGACATTTAAGTATGTATTTCTCTCTCTCTCTCTCTCTCTCTCTCTCTCTCTCTCTCTCTCTCTCTGTTTTAATCCTTCCAGGAAGACATGCCAATGAATCTCCCAGGTAAGTCCTTCTATTACTTTATTTCACAGAAGCGGCTTTGTCAGAATAAGCTTAAACTGGAACAGACTCTAAGATTTTAGAGGGAAATAGTCTTTAAATTTCAGAGACATTGTAGGCTTTCCTGATATTTGAACTGTCAGTTCTATAAAGAGTTTAAATTTATAACAGCCTTAATTAAAAAAAAACCAGGTAGTGATAAGACTTCATATTATGAAAGGTTTAAGAACAATATCTTCCCAATCAGCTGTATCACAAAACTCCCTGTAAACTGATGTCCGGGTCAAATGGAGCCATAGAAAGTTAACACATTCTCCCCTCTACAACACCATGTCCAATTCTATTTGGTCCTGTCCTTTGACTTCTGACTCAGGGAGAGGAAGAACTGACCCTTTAGGTTTGTGGGTCTGTTTATCACGTCTCTAAGGGGCATTAGCCATGATTCTTTTTTTAAAACTTCTGCTTTCATGACTGAGATAAGAAGATGTAACGATAGCATGTGTGCCCAGCTCAGAGATTAAACTACAGAAGCTGCAGCGAGCAGTTCTCTTTGCATCTATAGGACTCACCTGGACTCCAAATTTTGAGAGGAGACATTAACATGGTTTCAGTAATGGAAATCCCTCATAGAAATACATTTTCAGAGAGTATTTTCTGTTTTTCAGACGTTGACTTGCGTAAATACATCCTACATATTGCTGAAGAAATGTCTTTAGATCAAGTTAAGACATTTGTCCGGAAGAATGGGATGTCTGAGGTGATGATAGATGAGATCAAGAACGACAATCTCCAACACACAGCTGAGCAGAAAATCCAGTTGCTTCAGGGGTGGTATCAAGCTCATGGGAGGAAGGATGCATATTGCACTTTAATTAAAGGCCTCAGAAGAATGAAATGCTATGCTCTTGCAGATAGAATTCAGGCCATAATCCAGGCGGACATTGAAAATGCAACTGCAGACACCAGAAATGAAAATGAATGAAAGACAAAGACTCAAGTGAAAGCTACCTCAGTTCCAAAGAGAGAGAGAGAGAGAGAGAGAGAGAGAGAGAGAGAGAGAGAGAGAGGAGAGAGAGAGAATCTTTTAAATCAGCACTGTGGCTGGTGTCTGAGTCAGGAGCATTGCTGTGAATTCAAGGCCAGACTGTGCAACATAGTGATCTCTGAACTAGCCTTGTCTCAAAAATAATAAAAGAAAAAAACAAAGCAAAGAAGAACATTTTAAATAATGGAAGTCTATAAATGTTGTTTGGCTTTTTGTTGAGAATATTTTCTATTTCCTTAGATTTGTAGAGACAATATATTTATAAAATGTGAAGATTTCATGATTCTGTTTTGAGTAATGTTGAAATGCATGTGGAGGATGGGCAGGAACAAGAGCAACCGCCGTAGTGATTTATGTACCCACATAAAAGTCTACACAGAAGCATATAAACTTAATATCATGCTCTGGCCTTGAGTGTGGATAGTGTGTGCTGGCCTGTGATGGACCATTCTGCTCCATGGCCATAAAGGGCAGGAGGTTGGCTATAAAGTCACACACAACTCCAGGATAATCGTAGAGATTTTACCATATACAGGGACTTGGCTAGCCAGCCTTAGAACATACACATGCAAAGCTTGCATGTATATTTAAATGTAGAATTAAATAAGGTTCTGTTGCAAAGATTCTTTTTGTGTGTGTGTGCAGACCATTGGTGTTTGTGAAGTAATATTTCTGATTTAAATTTGTGTGGAAAATGTAGAATAAATCTGAATGATTGAATATATTATATTTATATATCACTTTATACTTCCAAAACAATTTGCTTGTTTCTCGGGTGTCAAAGTGCTTTTTTTTAAATAGGAGTGTATTACTCCAGCCTCACTACCTCTCAGTTTTCTCCTTGCTCAACTTGATACAAACATATCCACTCCTAAACTTGAAAACTTTCCTAAAGGATTAATGCTCCCCCCCCAAAAAAAAAATCAGAACTGCCTTGGAAATTCTAATCTGATTCAGGAGAGCTACATTACTTTTCTAGGGGTAGGTTAAGGCATGGACTCATGCCTACACCACCAGTGGTGGGGATAAAAATGAAAGCCCACTTGATTGCCTTTTGGCAATTCCTGGTGTGTTCTCTTTGCCTGCAAATGACAGTAGATGCTCAGCAAAGCTGAGATGCCCACAAGGCTCTAGGAATTGCTTCTGTTATTCTCTTCAGGTTCTGAAACAAACCATTTTCTCCATCTACTGCTATGCTGGTATCTTTGCATTTAAACCTCTATGAAAGTTGTATTAAATGTGAATTGGAATCTGCAGTGTCTCTTATGTTCACGTACTGTGAACTGAGGAGACTCATAAACAGAAACACACACACTTGTAGTTACCTAGTGATCTTCCACTAACGAACGATTCTTTTCCTCTATGTATGGAAATGTATGATAAAGGAGATAATTTTTTTAATTAAAGTATCATTTTGGCATTTCTAATTCTCTGTTGTCTTGCTCGTTGTCTTATTTTTCCTTCGCTCTAGTAACCACTTAAATGTTACCTGTTCAATGAATCGTTAAACCTTTTGTTAACTTCTGAAGAGCAAATTCCTCTTGTATATCCTCTTAATAGTTAAAATGTTCATTCCATGACTGCTACCACCAAGAATACTCCTAAATAGAACACAACCATTTGCCGAATATAATTATACAGGGGCACTCAAATACTGGTAAAAAAAAATACAAACATTAAGGGGTGAGTTTCTGTGTGTGTGTGTGTTCAGTGAGTTGAAAGGAGCAGATTCAAATACTATACTATAGCAACTTGATGACCACTAGGTCTCCTCTCTCTCCCTCCCTCCCTCACCTTCCCTCCCTCTCTTTCATCCCAAAAAGCCCTTAAAATTTATTTATCCCTTATTTTTTTGCATTTTTGAGAATATCATCTGAACACAGAAATTCATGAGACAATAGCTTCCACATTAAAATCAAATTTAGCAGAAGCTATTTAGCAGAGTCACATAAAGTAAGGTGACTACGGCTCAGTTCATACCTTACAACCAAACAACCAAAGGAGGCTTTGAGGGTCTGCCATATGTGGAGGTGCCCCTTTCTCCCTCTTTTAGGTCAGTTTGTGAAAAAGTGATCCTCTTTTCCTATCATTGACTTCTCTTTCATGTCTTTAATCTTTTTTTAATTACAATAATATTTTTATTTAACCCAATATTTCCAAGAATTGACCTTTTAGGATGCAGTCAGCATTAAAACTTTTATTTAGAACTGGAAGAACAGCTTTGCACAACGGGGGCATGAATTCAGTCCCTAGCAACACAGTTAAACAAAGCAACAGTCCCTTTAAAAATAAAAAAAACCATTACTAACAAAGCACTATTGATAAGACAGCTTACATTCCCCCAGAAAGTCTTAGAACGTGTGTTTATTTTCACCTGTAAACACATCTCAGTTTAGTTTCTCACATTCCGTAGATCTGGTAGGTACAGGAGGACAGTAGCTACAGCAGAAGATAATGTCTACCTTTCTCTTATTGAAGAGTCCAAGAATAAAATGTGCATATTCCAGAAATAAGGAAATATAAAATTATAAGCCTAGGAGAATGAGAAGAGACTGTCAACAGCTTTCTCAACAGCTTAAGGATTAACTATTAACAGTGGGTTACTCTGCTTTCCAGCCCATAGCTCTTTTTGCAAGGCTGAAGCTGTCCTCTGCAAACTTAGGGTCATTCTGCAAACTGAGGATCTGCTTTTAGATACTGCACCCCTGTTCCTGGCCACTCATGACCAGAAATTGATGTGAGCTGAGTTAACTTTTAAATGGTGGGATGTACGTGACTTTTGACTCTTTGGTTTTATATTGTTCCATACCCTTCCCTGCTACGCAAAAGTAGTGTTAGGAAAGATGCAGAGCCTTGGTAAACACTACCAAGGAATGCCAGAGGAAAACAATGGGTTAAATACAAATACTAGTTTAACTGAAAAACTCTGTTAATGGAAATTGCAAAGAAGGGCAATTTGTGTCTGAGTTTTACCTTGAGATTGTAAAAATTCTTTTGTTATTACCTAATGCTTGGTATAAAAGAGGAGGTCAAAAACCAGCCTTTGCCACAGCCTTACAAATCCATCTCTGGCTGTGGTCTCAGCTAGCTGATAAGCCTTTTGTGCTCCATGAAGTTTTTTTTTTTCTTCCTGGAATAAAGTTTGCTTCTGGTTTATTAGACCTTGATGGTCTGTCCCCATCTTTGAGCAACCTCCATGGATCCAACAGTTATAGAGCCCTAGAATAACGGCAACTTTATGGCCAATTAGCTCTACTAGCCGAAGTCTGGATTGGGTGTGTCGTGCTAGACAGCTTTCCTGTCAGGGAGTTGGAAGCGCAGCATCTCCCATCTGTGAGTTAGTTTTGGGGAAGTGTTTTGCTTCCAACCATTGTAGGTATTCTTTTACCTAACATCGCTGGCTCTTGGAGCCTGACTGTCTCAGACTCGGGGGACGTCTGAGTAGATTGCAACCCATCCTGAGCAGCCTTCTTCCCTCGAGGACTCCATCCATTCTCTACAGTCCAATGTGACAACCTCCCAAACGCCAATGTCTCCTCGCTAGCTTGGTAGATGACAACTTTTCTTGAGGAATCTGACCACTGTGGTCTCAGATCGCCTTTAGGAAGAAAGATTGAGTGGGGTTGGGATCGGCCTCCATTTCTCCCAGAGAGATGATAGTGTGGGCTGCCCTATCCAGCCTTGTAGTTGGAAGCAGGAGAAAGTTGCCGAGTCAGCTATGAAACACCCACTCTACAAGGTAAAATTAGCCGTGAGAACCTCCTGTGCCTACTTTGATGAGTTTGAACTTGAACCAAGAACTTTGAGTCCCTTTGAAAAGGCTTTTGTCCATAAGGATGTGACACTTTCCCCTTGGGCGTCACCCAGAGGCTCCAGGAACGACTGTTCCCACACCAGTAATCACAGCTGTGCTCTGGACTTCATGTGGCTTCTTGGTCCAAAGTCACCTTGTTTGAATGAGCCACATCTTGTTTGCGGTAGACATTCTGAGCAGGAATATCACCCAAATGTTCTTTACGGGCCTCAGAAAAAGACTATCTGCAGAAGGTCAGAGACCCTGTGGGTGTTGCATACTTAAACATCCTTAGCAACTCCACAGAATCCGCTGGTGTCTGGTTTGGTCAGGCACCATGTAGTACTGAACTGCCGATTTCTGTACTGTGATGTGGCTAAGGCATACAAGGCAGCATTGTTTACAACTGCTTTCCATGCTCAACTCTGAATGTAAATTTACCTGGATCCGAATTTTATGCCAGGGGCTGGGATGCAGCTCAGTGGGCATCCTAAGACCCTAGGATCCATCCCTACTTTCAAGATAAACAAATAAGGAATGGAAAGGGGGAGTCTATTCAATGCAAGATATTTGCAGTTTCTTTGGAGCACTTTAAAAACCGGTTCATAAACACTGTTTCTTGTTTGTTGGTGACATGCCCACTGCTAATCTAATTATTCCTTTCTGGGGGAACCCTTTTATTTCCCCCGCTGATAGATTTTTGAAGCTTCCTCTGCTACACTTCCTTGGTGTTCTGCAATTTTACTTTAAAAGTTTCAGTGTGGATTTATTTATCTCTTCCTCCTCTTTTTCCTCCTCTCCCTCCTTCTCTTCCCTGTCCTCCTTCTCTCCCTGCGTCTCCTTTACCCACCCATCCTCCTCCTTGTTTTAGCATGTTACCTGACGTCATTCTTGTTCAGCTCCTCGTCGTGTTGGTGAGGTTTTGTAGAAGACACCATCTCACAGCAAACACTCTGGTCCTCTCTTTTGTCTTTTTTGAGAAAGGCACAGTTATCTTCTCTTTCTTCCTTTTATTTATTTTCTGTTCTGAAAACTCAACTGAGCATGCTTCTGTATGGCTCCCTACATTCTTTCTGATGCACAGCACTACCTAGTGAAGTTTCTTGCGTTTCTCTCTACTCTCTCATGCTTTTTGAAAACATATATACAGATTGCATTTAGGGAGATGTTTCATTATTTTCCCAAAATAAGCCATTTCCTTTTTTATTGTTTTTAATGTTTGTGATTATTTTTAAATGCTCGCCTGTACAATTTTGTCTCCGCTTGCTTTTTCATGTAAACTTGATGTGGGGGATTTTCTCTGTTATTTTTTCTTGTTGTAAACAAATACCCAATGAGAAGCAACCAGAGAGAGGAAGCTTGGCTTGCAGTTTGAGTGGACAGTCCGTCATGACAAGGAGGGCCTGCCTGAGGGACTGTGGGAAAGCCACACTGTGACTGCACTCAGCGAGTAGCGACGGAAGAGAGTTGGTGCTCTCTAGCCTTCTCTATGAACCCTGGCCCATGGGATGGGAGCCCCCGATGGTCAGAGTGGTCTTCCCTCTTCGCTTAAACCTATCACGAAACACCTCACAGACTTACCCAAAGGCGTGCCTCTTAAGTGCTTTTAAATCCAGCCAAGGTTGCAATCAAGATTACCCCAATTTTATCCCACCGTTGCTTCTTTAAGGATTCTACAATTCTCTGGAAGTCCTTTCCAAAAGCAGGGTTTTTTTTTTTAATTAAATTTTATTTGTTGTGATTTCATTCTGCCAACTGTAATTTCACTTTCCTCATGTGACATCTGTATGTGTGTGCACACATGCATGCTCATATGCACAGTTTACACATTTGTGTGCAGGTACACATACCGATGTGCGTGGACAGGGAGGTCAGAGGAGGATAAGAGGTGCTCTGGTCGCTCACTCTCCATGTTATTCTGTTGAGACATGGACTCTCACCGAACCTGGACCTAGACTAGCAGCCAGCCATCTCTGTCCACTTCACATCACCCATGTTACATGCCTACCACACTTGGCGGCTTTTTACATGAGTTCTGGGGACTTGAACTAAAATTACCCACATCTCTGATACTTTGAGTTTTCTTGTAAGATTCCTCCAGTTACTGGGTAGAAACATTGACCAGAGCCAGAAATCACACAAGTGGGCAAAATGGCTCTACTATCCAAGAAATGAAAAAGGAAAAGAATAAGAAGGCCCCTAAGCAACGAGCAACTTTAAGAAGAGAGGATCTAGGCTCTTGGCTGTTGGTTAAAATCACCTGACTCAATGTAATCTGGGTTAAAAATGTCTTAGCTATAAAATCCAAGGCCCAAGATTTTGTCAGTAAAAAGTCAACAGTGAAGGTTGAAACTGACTCCAAACCCATCACCAAAAAATACAGTAGGTCAGAGGAAAGCGGTGCTGTATTTCCACATGGCCACAAGATGGCACTGTGACTCCAGCGCCGACTCAGATGCTGGCTCCAAATTTTGTCATAGTTTGACTCTCCAACTCAACACGCCAACAGAACAGAATAGAGTAAAACAAGAGTATCTAGAATAGGGCAACTTCCTAGGTCAAAGGCTACCCCATTTTCACGACCTAGCTGTTTAACTTTAGACTGAACATCCCTGAAGTTTGGTTTCC